TAGTGGTCCTAGCTCTTCCCATTTAGGAAGAATTCTTGCACAAACAGACCCACAGAGAGAGAGAGATTTCTAAAATATATAGATAATTACTATGCCTTTGTCAACTTTAAATAATAATATATTTGCTGACCTTGATAACTGCCCTCTAATATATATTCAATATTAAGTTGCATGTCTAATGTGCTTTAAATGTAATATGCTAGAGAAGCCAAATTAATTAGAAAGAACCTGTATATCTAGCATCATATGCTCCCTGCAATAAAAATATAACTGTTAATGATAATTATTAATAATGGGGCATAGATATAAGCAATTAGTAGTAATTTGCTATAAAAAAAGGCTGAAATCCCACTGTGCACATGAAAAACCTGCATTGTGCATTGCAGCTTAATTGGCCTGCTTCCATCTGGAGATATGCAGTGGTAAGGTTGCTAAGCAAAGTATCTGCAGGGTGCATTAAACAGGACAGCATTGGATTGCAAGGGGGAGCAGACAGTGGAAAACACAATGTTATATCACATGCTACCCCAAAACAGCTCCCTACATTCTGATGTCAAACTGACTGCAAGTTGGTGCTGCTCCGAGCAACATTAATTTCACTCATCAGGCCACACACCATGGTTCATTCAATTTCCAATAGCTCCAAATGAACAGAGGAATCTGATAATAAATGTGTAAGTGCATGTCTGTATGTGTGTCAAAGTGTCCAGTGAAAATTTCTAGCTCAATCTCTGCACACACCCATGTTCCTTTCATGGCACGTGCTTACAATATGGCCAACCCATATTCTTTAATAGCAGCCTTAAACACCTGGCATCTTTACTATGAAATGTTTGGCTCTGGTTACCCTCTGCTTGGTGAGCTGGGGCATGCTAAATAGCATAAGAGGCTTCCACTGTGCTTTATTGTGTATTATTTGGAATGTTTCTGCTATCTCCAAAGAATCACAGAAAAAGAATGAACTCCCAAAAGAAGTCACACTTCAATGCATTTTAAAGAACGGTGAAGCTCATTACTTTTCCAACACATGAATTTAGGAGTTTGCATTTTCCCAGCAAATTTGATTATATGCAATGTAAAAAATATTAAAATTACTGAGACACGTTCTGATCGCACTTACTTTGTTATAAATCAAAAGTAACTCCCCTGACCTTGGTGAATAATGCAGTGATTAACACTGGAATAACTGAAATCAGAATCTGGACTTTTACTCACATTGGATACAATTAATTCACAAAAGAAGTTCAATTGTTATGGGACTACTCAGATGAGTTAGTGCTGTTCAGGATGAGAAGAGACTGGAACTAGAGTTCCAAAGAGAAATTATTCACAAGGAAACAGGAAGCCATCATTGTGGAAGTCTGATGATGCCACTAAACACACATGAAATGTAGATGAGCATCTGAATTCATGAGAGGCAGCAAACATAGACATTTGGTGCAGGTAAATTCTCTTATCCTTCACAATTATTTGGATTGTTCTAATGGTGCTTTTATAGTAACATTACTTTCTTCACAGATACTGAACTTCAAGTTCGCAAGAAGAGAAATCAGTTCCTTACATTGCTTTTTCAACCGGCAAAAGACTTACAACATGCATAATATTAGACTTTTCTTCAATATCCCTGTCTTCTGTCCGAACTGCTTCCCCTCAACCATCCTTCTATATTCTCCATCCCTGTGCTGAAAATCCTAGACAAACTCAGCATCCTCTATCCCAGGTTCCAGTTCCAGCCGGATAAGAATCAGTAGCCTGAGGTGGAGGTACAAGTCTCTCTTCTGACTTTTCTGCTCCAGCATGATAATATTCACCTACCCCATTCTTATGGTACAGCTGTCCATGCCAAAAATACACCTTTGCCTTTCGTGACCTGTGCCTGTACCCAGAGCCCTGCTTTCTAGTGCCTAATCTCCAAAGGGTGCCCCATTTCTCCTTTCTGGCCCAGTGTCCTCATTCTGTGATAACAGGGATCATAAGTGAGCTCTGGCCTTCTAAACCTATTGCCAAGGAGAACAGCACCAACTTCTAATCCAGCCTGACTTTTTCCTTCATCCTTAAATTCAAGGGTCCTCCTGCTGGACCAGAGAAGATACTGGGGCTACATTTAGACTACATCCCTCTGTCGGCAGAGGCATGTAAATGAAGCACTTCAAAAGTGAAAATGAAGCTGGGATTTAAATATCCCGCACTTCATTTGCATAATCACGTAATGGTGCTCTTTTGAAAAAGCGCTATTTTAAAATTGAAACCGCAGTCTAGACGCGGTTCTTTCGAAAACGGGGATCTTTTTTGAAAGATCTTGTAAGCCTCAAAAAATGAGATGCTTCATTTACATCTTTCTGCCAACAGAGGGATGTAGTCTAGACGTAGCCAGAGAGAAGTGGAAGATATTAGGAAGAACACATGGTTCATTGGGGTGGGACAGAAGTGTGTACAGAATAGATTCAAGAGTTAGAAGGAAATCATAGAAGCAAATGATGACAAAGGTCTATTATCAAGTTCACTGCCCTGCACGTACAAGATGTAGCTCCCTAATAGAGGATGTAGGAGATATTACATTGGTACCACATTTGATCTTAATTCAGAGACCAAGAGAAAACAGGAACATGAAAACATAAGAACGGTCATACTGGGTCAGACCAAAGATCCATCTAGCCCAGTAGCCTGCCTGCCGACAGTGGCCAGCACCAGGTGCCCCAGAGAGGGTGGACCAAAGACAACGATCAAGCGATTTGTCTCCTGCCATCCCTCTCCAGCCTCTGACAAACAGAGTCCAGGGACACCATTTCTATCTCCTGGCTAATAGCCTTTTATGGACCTAACCTCCATGAAATTATCTAGCTTCTCTTTAAACTCTGTTATAGTCCTAGCCTTCACAGCCTCCTCTGGCAAGGAGTTCCACAGGTTGACTACATGCTGTGTGAAGAACTTTCTTTTATTAGTTTTAAACCTGCTACCCATTAACTTCATTTGGTGTCCTCTAGTTCTTCTGTTATGGGAACTAATAAATAACTTTTCTTTATTCACCCTCTCCACACCACTCATGATTTTATATATCTCTATCATATCCCCCCTTAGTCTCCTCTTTTCTAAACTGAAAAGTCCCAGTCATTTTAACCTCTCTTCATATGGGACCCATTCCAAACCCCTAATCATTTTAGTTTAGGAAGTGAGACAGAAGTTAACCATGGCGCAACCTTCAGCACTGAACTGGGGCAAAGAAGTCACAAGTAGGGTTGTATTCTGAACAGCCACCGAAGGAGTCTGAATGGACTGGAATGGGGGAAGGTTTGGAGCAAGACTAAGTCTAACAACAAATTCTAAAGGCAATTAAAGAAGCACCACAACCTCAAGCAGCAAATAAGTGTGGCAGCTGAGAACAGTGATGTTTTACAATAAAGACCAGAACAAAAACAGAAGAGGAAGAGAGTCTCATGTATGGATGATGGACCAGGCTCAATTGTCATGCTGTTGACAAACTAGTTACTAGCCGGAAAAGCCGTGGAAGGAAGTTTATGGGGGTGTGGCTTTATTTTCTATTGACAAGTTTAAATATCAACTAAGGATGGAAAAGAGTAGTTGATTAGTTGACTACTTGCATTTCCCTGCCCCCTTGCTGCATCTATATCAGAGGCAGCAAGGGGGAGAAGCAGGAACCAGTGCTGGGGGGAGCTGGCTTTAAAGCTGGTTCCCCCCAACACAGTCTCCATGGTGTGGGGGCAGGGGAACAGGAGAAGCAGAGGCACAGTGGCGCTGTGGCTCTGCCTTTTAAATGTAGTAAGAGCCACCTGGCCACTGTGGCTCTGCAGTTTAAATGTAGTAGGAGCCAGGAGTGTAGGCAGCCCAGCTCCTACTGCATTTAAAAGGCACAGCTGCAGCGATTCAGACCCGGAGCAAGGCAGGACTCAGACCTAACCCTGCTGTGGCTCTGCAGTTTAAATGTAGTAGGAGCCAGGCTGCCTGCATGATCATGAGTACATGATTGGTCATGTACTCACTATTTAACATCCTTAGTATCAACACCTACAAAGAAAACATAGGTAATATATACATAAAGCCACTATTAAATTCAACAAATTCTAAAAATAATAAAACTTACCCTACAACACTGAAAATGTCCTGCCTGTCTTCACAGCTTAAATAAATTTCTTCAGTCTTTAAACAAGGACAGATTAGAAACTGGACTTTCTGTCGGGAAGTATCACTAAAATGGCAACAGGTGGCATTGCTGAATGCATTTGCTGAAATGGTGAGTTATTTCTTAAATCTGCTTGAAATACTAACTTTTAATCCACAAACTTTTTCTTGTTAATACCTGCTTTGTTACCTTTCAATCTGCTGTACTATGTATTACCAGTGCACAGATTTCTTCTTATTTTACTGGGAAAATTCTGTGTGCTCTTGAATTTAGGGCTGGGGAAGAGGATACAGAGAGTATTTTCTTCACTCTACATGTGAACAGCTCTGGTACAATACAGCCCTAACATTTCATTGAGCATTTGGCTGAAAGAACAGCCAGTACCTCCATCATCATTCCAAAACTCAAAGAGACTGTCACTACCTGGCTTCTCTGCATGCCTGCTAGAATCTGACAGTGGTTGCTGGGGGAACACATATGCCATTTAATACATTTATACTGGAACCGCCCATAGCATTCCTCATGCACCTGTCTTGAACAGACAGAATGTCTCAGAGCCTCTTGGCTATGACAACTCCACAATCCCAATGCTTCAGAGAATCAAGAATACAGTTAGGTTACCTATGCCTTTGAAGTTACATTTACAGCAATTGTTTACACCTTCTCAACAATCAAGCTAATCAGCAAAACTGTTTGCTACCTTTAAAGGGCTTCCTATTACATTTTGTGAGCCCTCAGAACTCCTCTCTCTCTGCAATGGGCATATGGAAAAATCCGTTATTTCATAAAGATGATTTCAGAATTTCAGGTTGGAATAAAACTGTTCACATATTTTGAAGTATCAACAGTAAACAACACTAACCTCTTTCACTTTTTCCAGCTCATTCTGTAAAGCCTGTTTAGTAATCTCAACTTCTATAAGCTGCTGTCTTAACTTTTCATTTTCATCTTCTGTTGTAGCTCGTTTTTCTTCCACGTTTTCTAACTCATGATGAAGTCTGACTGAGACGTCTTTCGCAACCTAAATGAAATGGAGTTTGCAAAAATAAATAAAGACATGAAAAATATATGTTTCTGCAGTTCTGCCTGAATTATCACTTATTATGTCTTTTTTTCAGTAGATGGGACATGAAAGAGATGTGTGGAAGCCATAACTGACTGGTGGGATTCTGGCTAACTAAGAACTCCAACCAACATCCATTAAAGTTAGTAAAGACAATTCTTTCCATTGGCTTCAGTGGATTAGGCCCCAAACAAACACTCCTTCTCTGGACTTCTGGGAGTTCACAATGAAGCAGTAGCTCCACCATCCTTGGAGACTGTACTTGAAGGAGACTGAGTGCTGCAATGTCAGTCCACTCTACACCCAGGCAAGTCCCTTTTAGACAGTTAATGCTCATGGAAGCATGAACTAAGAACAAGATCTACAGTCTCCAGACATATGGAGCACAAACGAGGGGATAACTCCTCACTTCTTCCTTCCCTCTCTCCCAAATTTAGGAATGCAAGGTTGGCTCCAATATGGTCCTTATTATTGCTAACTACTTTAATTTTAAAAATAAAATAAGCCTTAGATTTTGTGACCAGACACTTGTACAAAATTTAGTACAAGTTGAACTGCTCTTAATCGGAACTCTCTGGTCTGGAAACATCCCTGGTCCAACAGGACCACAGATGTCCCAGGACCAGAGAATCCTGGTGGAGCACTGGTGACTGGGAGTCCTGCAGTGGGGCAAGAGCCCAGTAACAGAGCTGCCCTATGGCAACAAAACCAGGACATCAGCAGTAGGGCTGCTGCCCAGTGCAGACACTGCAAGGAGTGGGGGTCGGGGAGCGGGAGGCAGCAGGGCTGGCCCAGCAGCAAAACTGCCCCATGAGACCAGGAGGCAGCAGGGCCACGTGGCAGCACAACTCGGAGCCTGGCAGTCCTGCTACAGCCAACTGGGTCAACTGCCCAGTGGGACTGGAAGGCAGCATGCCTGCCCAGGGGGGCCAGGAGCCTGACTGCTGGGCTGCCTGGTGATGGGGCCAGGAACTCACGAGTGGGGCTGCCAAGCAGCATAGCATAAAGCCCAATAGCTGCCTGGTGAGGCTGGGAGGCAGCAGGGCTGCCCAGTGAGACTGAAACTCACGCAGGGCTTACTGCTTGGTAGTGCAACTAGACCTCAGCAGGGGGGCTGCCCCGCGAGGATGGAGCCCAGTAATGGGGCTGTGCCCGCCAGCAGCAGGGTTGCCACAATGGGCCAGGAGCCCTGCATTCAGAGGGGCTGGTGGCAGGGGGAAGCTGGCTGGGAGGTTGGCAGCGAGGCCATGGCTGGGGAGAAGGGGCGGTGACAGGGGTGGGCCCAGAAATGATCTTCGCTGGTCCGGCAAAAACCCTCATCTGAGAATGGTCATGTCCCGAGGGTGGCTGACCAAAGAGGTTCAACATGTATGTTTTTAAACTGCATTGATGCATTCATGGTTTTTGCTTTAAATTTTGAAATGCATGGGCACAGGATGAAAATTTAAAGAAATGTACCAGGACTCAGTCCCTTTTTTCATTTGTGTAAATGACATCTTTGCCATTCAGAACATAATATTATAACTTTATAGCACTTTTAAAACTGTAATAATACATATCAAATATTTAGAAAAACAACAGCTCTGATGACTTCAGTACAATCATTTTGAAAGATCTGACTTATCAGTTTCATTACAAATGAAAACACAGTTAATCCCTCCTGATGTTTTCATTACTTAATATGTGCTCAACCTTCTTTTTATGGTGGTTACGCATTTTTAATACTGTGTTTTATTTCATGTACACACCCATGCGAGAATTTGGAAGGAAAAAGTATTGCATAGAAAGCAATGCTGAAGAATTATGTCTATCAGAAAACAGTTGCAGCTCGTGACTCACTCTCTCAACTGAAACACAATTGTGTGTAAAGTTCTGATACAATAGGCTGCAGCATTCATTCAATGATTTCCCTGTCCCAATGCCAATGCTGCACACCTTGGAGGTGGAGGGACCATGTTTGCTGAATTCCAAGCAAAGCCTATGAAAAGGGGCTGCAAGATAGGGTGGAAATCACATCAAGTCAGAGAATTAGATCCTAACAGACTTTCCCCCCCTGTTGTGCACTGATCAGTTAGGTAATTCTCCAACACAGGAATCCACTGATAGCATCTGTTATTCTCCCTCTAAGTACTGGCATAGGAAGCAAGTCAGATATATGGCCTAAATTCTGCAACTCTAAGGCTGAATAGCACTTCATATCCTTTTTTGACAAGATTACCTATTGGGCTGACAAAGGTAACTACATTGACATAATATATTTAGATTTCTGTAATGCTTTTCTGTAGTCGTGCAAGATATTCTGATTAAAAAGAGGGCATTTCTAGTTGGGAAACCTACAAGGAGCTGTTTTTGTCCCCATGCCATTCTATGTCCTTATCATTCATGTTGCAGAAAGCATAAAATCGATGGCTGGTAAAGTCTGTAGATGACACAAAAATTGGCTGGGTGGCAAATAATAAGGGCAAGTCAGTTCTACAGAGCAATCTGGATTACATGATAAACTATGCTCATTTGACCAATATGAATTTAATATAGCTAAGTGCAAGATCAAATATCTAGGAAACTAGAATATCAGTCACCTTTGCAGGATGAGAAACTTAATTAAAGAAGGCTAATAGGTGTTTTGATCATAGTTGCTAAGTACAGGAACAAAATCTCTAACACAGGGGGTGCGTCTAGACTGCCAAGATTTTGTGCAAAAGCCATTGTTTTTGCGCAAAAACTTGCCAGCTGTCTACACTGGCCCTCTTGCGCAAGAATTCTTGCGCAAGAGGGCCAGTGTAGACAGCTGGCAAGTTTTTGCGCAAAAACTTGCCAGCTGTCTACACTGGCCCTCTTGCGCAAGAATTCTTGCGCAAGAGGGCCAGTGTAGACAGGCACCTTAATTTTTTGCACAAGAAAGCCCAATGGCTAAAATGGCCATCGGAGCTTTCTTGCACAAAAGCACGTCTAGGTTAGCACTGATGCTTTAGCGCAAAAGCATCCGTGCCAATCTAGATGCTCTTTTGCGGACATACTTTTAATGGAAAAACTTTTAAGTTAAAAGTGTTTCCGCAAAATCATGCCAGTCTAGATGTAGCCTAGAGATATATAATTCAACAGTTAAAGGCATAACAAGATATAGTGATAGACGAATTCAGACTAGAAATAAAGTACCAATTTGCCCCAATGAATATTTTACAGTGAGGTCAATTAACCATTGGAACTTGCCTATTAACACAGTGGATTCTCTATCAGTTAAAATGATTGTTTTCTTTCTAAAACATTTGTTGTAGCTCAGTCATAAATGATGGACTTGAGGCAGGAATCTCTTGGTGAAACTCTATGGCTTGTATTTTGCGGAGGGCTGATTAGATGATCATAACAGTCCCTTCTGGCTGGAAGATGTATGGCTGAAATTATGGATCCCACAGAAGTCAATGGGAGTTTTTCTATTGACTTCAGAAGAGTCACAATTTCACCTTACAAATATCTTATACATATAAACAGTATAATGGTCCCCATTGAGTCAACGGGACTATTTAATGAGGTTACAAAAAATGGCCCACATAGTGTAAGCTGTTTTGTTTTGTTTGTAATGACTTAAAAAGGTCCCTGAGTGTAACCAGTCAGGGAAATTACTGTCAGTAACTCCCACTGACTTCAGCAAGAATTGGCTTGAGTAAAGACTGAATGAAAGATAAGTAAAAACCCCAAAACGTGGCCTATCAAATTCTGTCCCCCAAACCAAAGGGTAAATCTGGGCTCCTATACCCTGTGCTTTCTGCACTGTCTAGAAGATGTGTGTATTTCAAACTGGCATGGAGCATCACAGAGAGGACACGGAAGCACCATTTTGCCTCAGCACTCAGTTCTCTCTTTTTTTCAACCACCCAGCCACACACTGAGACAAGGTGCTTCTGTACCTTGAGATCTTGCTCCATGCTGCGCAGGAGCTCTCCATCAATCTCCCCCGTCTGTGCATAGCGGAGCCTCTTGCGCTCAGCCTTGCGGAGCCGGTACTGTAGGATTCGGCAATTCTTGTTGGCTCGCTCCAGTTCATGACGCATTTCCTGCAGCTGGCAAGCATCCTCCTCGAAGAAACTGTCCCTCATCTCATCCATCTCAGTCCTCAACTCATCTATCTCATTCTGACATGCAGTCAGGCACAGGAGAACACAAGTAGATGGACCCAGAAAATAAATATCAGAGACAGACAAAACAAAGGCTAAAAAATGGAGCTGGAAAGCAGGTCTTCTCCCTCCATGCCCATTAAAAAGCAAGACAAATGGGAGAAATAAAGGGCAGTAAAAGAGATACTATGAACTAAAACTTGTTCTTGCCCTGGTATAATACTATATTGATGTTGTTATAAATCCTGCCTCTCATGAGCCAGAAGAAGAAATAAGAAACAAGCAGAGATCTGGCCCAGGATGCTTTGTGTCTGCTGTACAGCATCCTACCCACCCCCCAATGGGAAGCAGCAGAAGGGCTTGGCTAACCTGCTCTCTCCCCTGTCCCTGCCCACGAAGGGTGTGGGCGATAGGCCTTGCCCCTTTCCAGCTCAGCTCGCAAATCTGGCCAGAGGAATTTTCCCACCCCCCCCCCACTTCCCTGCCATAATGTGCTGGGCCCCTTTCTAGCCTCCAGTCTGCTGGGAGGGAGGGGATGGAGAAGCCCGGCGTTGCCCCTTTCATCCCCACCTGCCCACAGGAGGCGGCGTTCACCCCCTTCTCCATCCTCCGCCTTTGGGGAATGAAGGGCGGGGGCCCTGCCCTCCATTGGGGAACAAAGGGTGTGTGTGCCCCTCCCCCGCTCACCTTGAGGGTCTCGTTCTCCTCCCGCAGTCTCTCCATCTCCTCCTGCAGCTCCTCCTGCTGCT